TAGTAATTTAGGGTTTAGGGTTTTGCCGGAGGCTGAAGAATTACTACTGTAACAGTACGGTCCCTATGTAGTTGCGGCAGGGCAGTAGGACACATCCCAAAACCCTATGCCAATGTATTGAGGGCCCTAGATTCCTGCATTACAGGTAAAGACACTGCGCCTTGACATGCTTCTACTCGTCAGCGCTGGTCGAATTGTCGCTTCTGTGCTAGAACTACAGCGACGATGCAGAACACCAGGAGGATACAAAACGACACCACCGACCGATCTACTACTGGCCTTGCTAGTCTCATGATGAGTCGGTGATGGTGGTAGTGGCGGTAAGTAGTAGGAGTAGGACTAGGAGACTCGGAGGACTTGACTAGGAGGACTCGAAGTACTCGCACTAGGAGTCGGGGCAGCAGGAGCAGTAGGAGCAGTAGGAGCAGCAGGAGTGGGAGTAGGAGTTGGGGAGGAGGATTACAGTCAACAGTGGGAGTCGTCTTCGTCGTGGTCTTAGTCGGTCGGAGCTGCAGCCGCTGTCGCAGTCGCAGTCTCAGAAGCTTGCCGTGATTCTAGTAGTGCCACTGGACCTGGGTAACAGTAGAAGTTACAAGTAACAGTCAGCGAGACTCCTTAGTGCTCGATCGGAAGCAGATTCTAAGATGCAGCCCTTGCTGGGACGCATATCGCAGTCACAGTCCCTGCTCAGTTCCAGGATAAGCGACGCCCAGCCGAAGCAGCCATGGGTCCAGGTGCAGGCATTGCAGCCAGCTTCCCGAGCAACAAGAACCGTCGATTCAGCCAGCAGCTCAGATGAGTTCTCCTGTCAATGCAGGCAACACCTGCATCAGGCTTCAACAGGAGGTGCTGGAGAGCGAACCGCCAAAACTCTCCCTAGCCCGGCAACCTAAGTGTCAGCCCGCACCAGGCTCCATCATGGCCTCGACACCGGCAGAAGCCCCTTCACAAAAGCTGGGCCCTCCAGTGAGCCTACTGCTGAGCCGCCCCTCCAAGGACGGCTCTCCACTTCTCATCTCACCTGACAGTGAAGGGATGCGAAGTTTGTTGCGGCCGCGCTGTATGTGTCGTTGCCGATTCCTCATCATGAACGCGGTTTAAACAAAAGAACTACACAGGGTGGGGGGAAGCAGCCTCTGCAGTGGCGATCTCTGGTGTGGCTCTTGCATGGCAAGGCCAAGATCAACCCCTGAACACTAGACAACCTTCGCAGGTTTGCTTCTGCATGCCCTGCTGCACTGGTTCTGGTTGCTTGAGACAGGACAGGATCTCCGTCACGTCGGCAGTGAATAGCAGCTCCTCAAGTTTCGCCGCCATCTCCACGAGCTCCAGCCAAGCGCTCAGTCGGACTCAGTCGGCTGTGATCTGGACCGGCCTCGAGAGCGGTGAGACGCCAGACTCTCCGTAAGTCTTCCTCGACACTTCCTTGGTCCCGGCTTGTGCTTTGCACTCACACACGAACTAATACAGCATAGTATACTATACTATAACGGAAGTACAACATAATTAATATCATTTAGTGCAATGATGAAAAAAATAATAGGCAATGCTGTCATTCCTCGCAGCTGATTTTCTGTTTCCGAAACCAGCTGGCAGTATCTCCCCTCTACTCCTCTTGGTATCAGCAGTGTCGCTTTCTGGCTCAACCGTGCAAGGAGCACCTGCGGGAGCGTCAGAATAAATAGGGTACTTTTGATGTCCTTACACCTTGTAGACAACGCACGACTCAAGCCTTTCAAAACTCTATAAAACCGTGCAAAAAAAAACCTACAGCACCTCATAAAAGCCTCATGGACCTCCCGAGTTTCTGAAAGCCCGATGAGTTCGATGAGTCTCGTTGCGACTACCGAGGCTCCGAGGAGAATGCAGAGTCGTCGGATGATGATCTCGAGGCCTCACAGAGGTTTCAGCGTTCAGGATTTAGGGGCTTGGGGTTCAGGGTTCACAGAGGTGTAAAAGGGGCTGTATCATGCTATGTGTTTTATGAGGGGTGCCATGTTGCTTCAGAAGAGTTCAGAGGGTTTTATTAGAGATTTTAGGAGGGCATCATAGTGCCGCATTGGCGGATTTTTTTTGGGCTCTAGTAGGACCTACCAGACTCATAGGCCTTGCGGCGCTTGATAGAGGCCTCATCGGATGTTACTAAATGGGGTTGTACACGGGCCTCATAGGGTTTCATACCGGGTTTCTACACCACCTTTGGCTCTTTGAAGTTGCCTCTTGGGCCACTTGGGGGTTTCTACGTGCGCTGTCGGTTTCTGTTTTCTTGGATGAGTCGAAGAAGGGCAGTTGCAAAACTTGATTCTGTGGAAGACGAAGCCTGTCATCTCTGCATCTCACTGGGGTTTTGATTTTATAGGTCATCGGTAGCATAAGGGCTTCATGTGGTTCTATATGGAGGATGTTTTGGCGTCCTTCGGCCCTCTTTGTTCCCGCTTTACCCATGTAGTCGACCCAGGACTTCACGGGCAAAGGTATCGACCTGGCCGTGTTCCACCTGATTTGCGCCAAGCTCGTGGCCGATGCGCACGACCCAGAGAGCGGCCCCTCTGGCCTTCCGTAGGTTCGCAGGTTCCTAGGATCATCACAGCATCGTAGACCCCCCCTGGACCCCTCCCGCTCATACCAAGTATCAGGCCCCGACATTACATGATCCAGATATCCCCAGTCGTCTGTCTTGCTTGACATGAACCATGATCCAATCCACTGGTCTTAGCCTCGGGCTTCGAGCGAACATGGTCAGTCCGGAAGCTGTGACCATGAATTTCAGAAACCTTTTCAGTGTCCCATCCCCACGGCAGAAATTTTTGCTTTGTACCACTATATCCTCCTGCTCGCTGGGTGCCGCATCATGGCACGTGCGGCCCAGCGACTGACGCATTTGTGCGGGCTCCTGCGCGCCACCACTCGCCAGCCGGCAGTGCGATTCGCACGCTGCGCATCGACGGCAAGGGAGGAGCACTTCCTTGATGTAAATGGACGGCGGTTGCAGCTGGGCTCCGCACGAAGTTCTTCACGCGTTACGTTTGCACGTGGGTGCACTTGAAGCCCTGCAAAGGTACGTGCTGACAGCAGGAGACCTCAAGGGCTCACCAGGCAGGGACAAGCCTAGGCCCCATCTTCACCACGGATCCTTCATGAGGGGGACTGACAGCCTCCTGGATAGCAGGAGGACAGATGCTAAGAGACGGAGGGGATTGGGGCAGCTTTCGAGCCCCTGCGCAGGTCTACCGGTGATATGTCTGCCGGGTGCAATGGGGACAGCTGAGACGGACTGCCAAGCGTGCAAGCATATCGGTCGGCTCGCCTCCGTGCAGAGTCTGTTTCTGTCCTGTTCCATGGACCATTTCTACCCTGCACCCTAAACCCCCCTGAACTCCTAAGCCCTTACTCCCTGAACCCTCTTAAACCCGAGAGGACTTTGCTGGGCAGCTGGACGGGCTCTCGCAGAGGCATGCTGTGGTGGCCTTCGACCCACGAGGCTACGGAAAGTCTGAGCCTCAAAACTCTGAAGGCCAGCCGAGTGCGTTTCCGAAAGGGAGGCTCGAACATCGCATCTCAATATCGCCATGATAATAATATGTAGTACTTCGTTGTAACAGTAAGAAGCAGAACAAGAAGAATGATGACAATCCGCCCACGCCCTCTGCTTCTGAAGGCCGCCCAAACATGCCGAGGTCACGGCCGCCGAACAGAAGGTACCCGGCGGACTTCTATCACCTGGACGCCTCGGATGCTGGTGCCATCATGGACTCGCTAGGCAGGGCTTTAGGGGTTTAGGGTTAGGGGAGCCGGTCTCGAAATGCTTCGGAAGTTCTCATGAACTTCATCGTCATCCTCATCCTCATGCTGTTCGACCGCCATCTTCGACATCAACCTATCATCATTGAACCATTCCTGAGACCTGCCTGCGATTGCGACTTCCACCAATCAATACCATCACGGACTGCCACAGCACTACTGCTTTTATCACCATGCCTGCTACTCTTGCGATTACTGCCAGCATTCTGAGGGCGCTAGTTCTGATGCCGCTGCTGGCTTTGCTGCTGCGTCTGTCGCGGTTGCGGTAGTGGTTGTTGAGTCTGTGGCCGTGGCTTGCGTCTCGGAGGATGCAAGCAAGCATCTTTGATTCGGGTTTTCAGCTTTGGAACGTTTAGAGGGCGTGTCGGTCAGTGTGTTCGGATACGTTGCCCGGCCCCTGCCCAAACTGGATTTGGAATCCCATCATACGGCACGCTGACTCGGCTTTCCAGCCTCAGATCCGTGCAGTATCACAAGCAGTTGAGTGGCTGGTTGGCTCAGATGCGGAAGCTTGTGCGAAGGCTTGTCCATCGTTTTCTGCAGTAGCAGCACGCAGCAGTATAGTCAAAAGCTGCACGATCATCTCAATGTTGAAGCAGTCATCACCACTACCAACAACAGCAAGAACATTTAGCATGCAACGTTTCCATCCCCATTGTCACCTGAATCAGCCCAGTCAACAACTTGACAACGAACGCCGCGTCGTCTTCTTCATTGTCTTCATCATCTTCATGAACAGTACAACGATGCCTGTGCCAAATGGGCGCAAGCGCCTTGATAGCACAACTGCGACACCCGGGTTCAATAATGAACAATCACAAATCCCACGCCGCAGAGAGTCAGATGGAGTCTGACTATCTTAACAACTCTCAACTTTACTGCGGTTCTGAGTTTATGACTCCTCAGGCACTTTTCCCTAAAACCTAAACCTCTAAACCCTAAGCCCCTAAACCCCTAAACCCCTCAACCCCTAAACCCTAAACCCCTAAACCCTCAGAGTAGGCATCGGCTCCTACAACGTCATCGGCTGGAGCGACGGCGCCATCTCTGCCACCATCCTCGCCTCCCAGAGGCTCCAGATCCAAGGAGTTTGGGTTTAGGGTCGGTAGCCTAGTATTGGTATTGAAGATTACGAGTTGTATTCAATATTACTTTTGTATGAGTATGAATATCAATGTTTGTATCACTCTCAATCTTTAGTATTCCTATCACTATGAGTACTATTGCTACATTTTCTAGCCCAGGTTCGGAACTAGGGAGCCCGAAGCACATTACTGGCAGCTTGGCGGGGGGGGTGGGGGGGACTGCCTGCTTCAATTCCTGCTGCTCTGTTGGCTCGGTGATCTTGCGCAACGCTCCAGGCTAAACTCGCAACCTGCAAGGTAGCGCGGGAAGAGCTGATGTCTGTGTGTGTGTATGTGTATATATATATATATTTATTTATTTATTTATTTATATTCAAGATAAGCAAATGGATAAATGTGTACTTTATAATAGAAGTGTGTGTGTGTATGTATATATATATGTAAA